GGGCGGTGGTAGTTAGGAACAAATGCTGATGAAGCTCTGATGTCTATAACAGCATCCAGGTGCTCTTGCATATTAAGACATTTTATGGTCACATAATTAAAGAGAGAAGCTATTGTCATGATTGGTATGCATCTTGATTCCAGGTGGCAAATGGCGTGCTAATGCATCCTTGTGAATCAAGGCCAAGTTTGTGGCGAGGGAACTGGTGACAGTTCACCAAGCTAGAGTATGACAGATTGTCAGTGAAAGTTTTTTAATCTATGGATGAAATGCTGAAGTTGTGAATCTGAATCACTTGCAAAGTAAATACACTGGCATATACCGCCATAGAGTTTTGTGACGAGTGGATGTGAGATTGCATTCGGCACAGCCGTGTTTTGAGCTAAATGCTATTTTCAGCATGCTAAAATGCTAATGTGTGCACAGTGACAGTGCTGACATGCTAATGAGGTGCAATGCTCACCATCATCGTTTTACTTGTTAACACGTTAGGATTTAGCATTGAGCAAGTCCAAACACGCTTTCCAGCTATTTGTTCCTAAAGTATTACACAACATTACAAGCATCGGACAAGTTAAAATTGTAATCAGATGATGGCGCTTAATGAAAAATAAGAGGATTGTCAAACTTGTACTAATTCAGTCTGAAAACACGGCTCCAGAGCATCCACTTGTTTTGATCACACATGCAACAAAAGACATGTACAATGAAAAGCAACATTACATAGTAAAGGAGATTTTGAAAATGTTGACAGTCAGGTAGTGGAAAGAGATGATGAAGCTGACTGAACTGAGTGGCCAAGGACAGGCTTGTAGTCGCAGCTTACATCCGGTGAGTTAGACCATTTCTGACATTTAGCAGGTATGCCTAATTGTCTGTGTTAGGGATGTTAATGACTGATAATTAATTGATAAATTCCCGTTGATCTTTTTTTCTGATTAAAAATATAATAACCAATAAGGCAGAAGACATGCGTGTCAGAAAATGTCCAGTAGAATGACCGTAGTACCTGGTTGCGCCACCAGGTGGAGCTGCTTTGTACTGTGACAAACCAAGGAGGTGGTCACTCACTCGGAGTCCCATTAGTCTGTGTTTGCAAATAGACAGCACTGTGGGAGTTTAGCAAGTAAAATGCACACAAGAGCAAGTGTCCTGTGACGCTGGATGGTTACCGGCCAGAGCTATAGAAGTGCACTAATTCACAGTCAGTTCAAACCAGTGGATCACTGACTGCCTGACGACGTGACATGTGCCGTCAGAGAGGCCTATGCTAGGTGATTGCAATCAGGAAATATCATGATGTCAACTGGCTTAATTTCACAATATAGACTATCCAATTATTAATTGATAAGGCTGCTGACATTGGTTGAGGAAATCTTTAGAATGTAGATTTCCCTAGCATATACATCTGTGCCAATATATATATATATTTTTTTTCCTCCGCTCGCTTTCTGTGTTGCATCCCAGTATAAAGATTGTCTGCTCCGTGAGTTGCTGTTGCTGATTCCTTTTGCTCCTGTCTGCTGCTCTGGGCGCTGCAGTCTACAGCTAGCTGCTCTGGTATTGTGCTGCTTGCCCTGCGCTTTGACTCACAGGTGTTTCTATAGTTTGTTGCTGGCCCACAAGAGTGAGTCACTGCAGTTTGCTGTTCTATTTTAGCTGCATGATATTTTGTGTACAAGCTTAGAACTGCATATATTAGTGGCATTTGTTCATGCTGGTTCAGCTGAGTCATTTTTGCCTCATTAGAGACATTAGTGAATTACAAATTGTGTCTTTTTGGACCTTTAAATGTTCTTTATGCACTTTATTGGTGTCTGGTGATGGTGTTTATTTTTATGAAGTTGCAGTGCTCTGGCTGTCTCCTGCTGTCACACAGTTTTATCCCATTCCATTTGAAATGCCAGCTGTAGACACTGCTGGTGCACCATGTCTGAGCAAAACCATGTGGGGTGCCAATAGCCCTCAGTAATTATGAATGCACTGTTGACCAGTCAGTAATAATCCCACCGCTAGTCCCTGCTGTTAGCTCCACACCCATTGTTAATGCACATTCCCAGCCCTTTTGTACCTCGTGTTGGCGCTGGGAGCAGGCAGCTTATTGCATCCTCAAAACAAAACGGAGATCACCTCCAAGAGCTCATATTGTGTTTTGCTGTTCCTCTTCACAACATCACAACAGTGCAGCTATGGCTCAGGTGGGAGAGTGTTGTCCACTAATTGTAAGGTTGGCAGTTAGATTCCTCAGCCCCTTTTTGTGCCGAAGTCTTCCCAAGCAGGGCACCAAACCAAGTTGCACCCGATGTCAGGCGAGCACCTTGCTTTGCTGCTTTGCCACCATTGGTGTGTGACGATGTGTGTGAATGGGTGAATGAAAAACACAAGTGCTAGGTAGAACCCAGCTTAGGCTATAAGGCGCTATATAGGACAATTAACATTTTCAGCACAGAAGCCCACCGGTTACACTTCTTGCATGGCCAAAAAAATCCGGTTATAAATTTTGGGTGCACCGAAATGAAAAAGTTGTGAGTACCAGTGCAACCAGTGTTAAAAGTTTGGCCCAGAGCTCTTGAAAAGAAGATGAATGTCTGCACCTAATGTCATGGGATTCTATTAAGTTTCTGTCGTGACATTTTATTCACAGCCAAAAAGGTCAACATCATGGTAGTGCAGAGCAAAAAGTCACCAAACTGGGAACCATGAATATTTGTCTAAAAATGTTCCATGATTAGAAATCTTTTGACTTGATTGTGGCTATTGATGCAGAGGTGGACAAAGTCATTGGGATTCATCAAATACAAAAAGTCTCACGGTTATCTGCTGGTATTACTATCTAGCAGCACAAGATGAGCACCTTTTTGGGTGTATCATTTTTGTCTAATAACATACTATGATTATTGGGAGACTTAGATCAGCATCAGGTAATTAACTTTTCGGTCTGGAATGTCAAAGACGTTTGGCTCATCTGTAATATCAAGGGCACACAAAATGGAGATTATTATGAATTCAGGGAAAATCACCCTTTCACAGCCCATCAATATTCTGTGGCCATTGCGAGGAACCAGCTTCAGGCGTAACAAGGGGATCCAAGGGATAAATGATCAAAAAACAGGACAGCTATTGTCCTTGAACTCTTAATGGCGTACTAATAGTGCACAGTGTCAAGAGTGATTTTAACAAGAGTGTCCTGAGTCAAACTTTTTTTTTTAATCCCCCTGCCTTTGGACTTGGTGGAGATAACGCTCTCTCTCTCTCTCTTTCCCTCTCTTTCTCTCTCACATCATCACATTACTAACTCAAGCACGCCTTTTGCATAATCACCATCCTTTGTGTTTCCTCCTGCAGTTCGGATAAGGGGACTCATTACAGTAGAGAAAGTAGCAAGCAGGCCAGTGTGCATTGTGCAGGTCACACTGTTGGCGAAGGATTCACAAAAATCAGGAAATTCTTTAAACAGAAATCCATGGGCTCAGCACAATACTGACACTGCTCGCCTTACTTGGGTGAAATAAAACAGAAGATGTACACGTTGTGTAATTTACTTTAGGTGGTTAGAAAATTCAGCATGCGGCAAAGCTTTTGCTCGTTTCTGTAGTGTCCGTTAGCGGCCTTGGAGAGGCTGAAACTCACTGGCTGAGCACAACAGCTTTCTGAAAGGGGTCATCAATCACCACTCCTTAATCTATTTTTTCTCAAGCTGTAAACTGTCACATCATAACAAAATGCATTTTAAGAAAGATACATGAAAAGCTAGAAAAAATAAACTGCAAAAAGAGAAGAAAGGAGCTGATGACACAATAATGATGAGTCCAGATAATGTGCTGATTTTCGCCCAAACAGATCACCACGGCCTAACAAACCAATGCCATGTGCATTGAGTGGTGTGTGGTCATTCTGCATGTGATTTCATAAAGATACACACAGCGGATGCTTTGTGAAATGGCATTGTGCTCTGACTCGGCACTTCTGGCTGCTGATTTATCAACATATCTGTCCTGCTCCCTTCAGATGGCTTCAGGGACTGAATTATCTTACAGAGATTTCCATGCAGCATGATGCAACTCTGGACAACAAAGTCTGTAACAATCGCTCCTATAAGATAAATGCAAGCTGATTTACTGCTGTTGTGCTTTAACCACATTCAAAGTCATTTTTAATGTCAATTTAGGTAAGTCTGCTGGCTGAAATGTGTTAACAAGGTGAAACAGTTCTCTGTTATTTCTGTAGAAAATAGCAAAGTGGCAGAAGTGCCAGAAGTTCTCAGCATGTCACCTACGTCTCATTTTCCAAAAATACCAAGAATGCAGTTTGCACTGCCTCGTTTGAATGAACCTTCCACCTATTTGACCCTCTCCTTCCTCCCTGTACTGTGCGCTGATCACCAAAATATTACACAGATGAGCAAAGTCAATTTCAGAAGAAAGTACTTAACTGTCAGAGCACTGCACGCACTGCCCAGAAGAGATACAGAGCTTGAAATTAAATGGTAGCTGCGCTGTCATGGTTTGTGTGTGGGTTCTTTTTTTTCCGTTTATTTCAGCATTTTTTTAATACAGATTTTTCTTTTTTTTTTGGCCTTACTTGTTTCTTGTTTCTCAGGATCTTTGCTTTCATTTTTCACAAAGTTGTTGAACAATATGACGCATTTCCTGGTGCTTTCTTGACACAGAGTAGAAGTCATAATCAATCAGTGGAAGTTTCTGTCTCTCTCTCTTTCCTGCTCCCCCTCTGTCACACACCAAAATAACTTATTTCAGCTGTTGTATACCTAGAACAATCCATAAGCCTTGCAATATGAAGTGTTAACGTAATATTTTCACGAATATTCTCCATTGCCTCGTGATGTCTGTGTATCTAATTTCATGCTGTTTTCCAATGTTTAAAGTTGCCATCTTTTAGATATTGATTCTCATTGCAGCTTATAAAACTACCTGTGATTTATCTTTTTATTTCTCCTTCTTCTCTCGTCTCCTTGTAGATAAAAGACCAAAAATAGGGACAACCACAGCAAAAGAAGGGAGAAAAGAATAGGCCATGGCTGAGGGGATGATTGCTTCTCAAAGTGGTAAGCAGCAGACATTTACAGTCTTACAGCCGACTTGTGTGGTCACTGTGTGATGTTGGATAAAGGCCAGCACTCACATTATTGTTCTTCTGTTCAGCCATTTTGTTTTCCATGCGTTTTATTTGTCTTCTAAGAGGTTCTGCACACGTTGGGCTACAGCAGACATTTCACACCTCCCCCTATCTTGAAGAGTCCCTTTTGATTTTAACACTGTGTAAGCATGCAATATACTCTGATGTTCAGCTTCTCTGGCTGTAACGTACAGTTCTTAACCTAAAAACTTCACACTTTCAAATGAATTTCACCTTTAAGAAAAACAAAAGGACCTTGGTATTGTTTGTTTGGAATGGCTCAGTGGTTAGTGCTGGTCCCTGGTTTCGTGTTGAGTCAAAAGGTTGACAGTTTGATCACGTGAAGAAATCAACCATTCACCGCTTTGGGTAATTTGCTTATGAGAACAGTGTCCTGATAATTAAAGTTGGTTGATTGGAAACATCTTCCAGCTTCCACGAGATTGGCTCACAGACATCTATTATGTTTGCTCTTAATAGATTGTCAAGCTCCCATTCAGCGCCTTTGTCAGTGGTGAACCTTTCCAAACGTGGACATTGTTTGCAACCTGTGTCTTAGTAAATTTCATCATTGAGAGTGTCAATGCATTTCACAATCAATTAATTTAATTAAAGTGCACGTACCAAATGTTCTCGAGTGTTATCACACCAATTCGGATGAAATCTTAATGATGTTTCTTATCAACACCAATTAATTCAAACATGTGACAAGTCACGCTGCCCTCTGGTGGGGTTTTTGTGTTTTCTCAAATCTCTCCATCTTTTCTGGATATTACCGCTTGACAGTGTGTACATTGAGGTTTAGCTCTGTCTATAAATGAGCGGGCTTTCATGTGCTAGCAACACGTTTGCGTCCCATTTGATTTCTGGGCATTGCCGCTTCATTGCAGGCACTCTTCAAAAAAGTGCTCACATGTATTTTCTTCGTAAAATGTAATGCTACTTTTGGATGATTTTATTTCTTCTCATAGAAGTGGCCCACCAAAAGAAGAAGAAAAAAAGCCTTCTCTGTGGTCTCTGCAGTTGAGCAACATGTCATGTCAGCCTGACCCTAACAAATATCTTAAGCTTCCATGGGTGATTCTGACCCAGCCATTTCAGCTTCTTAAGATCTGCAACATCTAGAGTCCTTCTATCGAGGAACTCTTTTAAATGCTGAAGCATGCCATTACATCAAAGGTAATGTAATTCATTGTAAAGAGCTTTATAGGACTTCAGCTTTATCCAGCTGTATGCCTTTATCTTTGTAACACTCGACCTGTTCAGGTCTTCCAGCTTTATTGGCTTTGTGTGCTCCATGTTTCCCCTGCTGCAGCCTCTCTGACCATTGAACCACAAATTATTGCTGAATAATGTCTTGATCCCTCATCAATGCAGCTAGGACAAGCAGGTCAAAATAGCAGGATGTGTGCCACCTGAGAGAGAAAAAAAAAGCTTTTCACTGTCAACCTAGGTTTTCGGTCACACTGAGCATTCTTTAAATTTAAAATGAGTCCCTGAACTCTTCACAGCTTCTGAAGAAACCACCTATGACTTATAAATAATTTACAGTCATGGATTGCAGGTACTGGGTATTTCTCTCGTAGCCTGTGCAAGAAAAGTCATCCAAAGGTTATCTGTGAATTCCTGTGCTCTTATTTACATGTATGACTTCACTGACATGTGGCCTTGAAGGTAAGCAGCAGTTCAGTGTGTAAGATGGTTTTTGTTTTACTGTCTATTATCACCATTTTAAGATGTTGTATTTTTGGCATGACAGAAATGCATCGTATTGGTCTTGTATTATCTGTCGACACATTATAATATCTACTGTAAGTTTGAACTGTAGAAAGCATGAGATCACTTACTCCTCCATGAATTAGCCCGATACTCTGAATCCAAGTGAAAAGTGATCCCTCATTAATTTCACTTCTTAATACCTCTTCAGATATCAAGGGATAAGGAGTAGTGGTTTAAAACAGGAAGCCATTATAGATACATTTTTGACCTTGGTACCAAGACTTTAATTTCGCAGCGGTGGTTACTGCTGAATATCCTGTAAATGATCTTTGTAATTGAGCCGTGCAATTCTCTTTAGTGCAGATATGATTTTAACTTTGAGTAGCTATACCATCAATCTAAACAGAGTCTCTGTCCTTTAATCTTTGTCCACCTACAAACCAATATAGCGCCCTTCTTAAGCCTGCACACACGAGAGATAGTCCAGAAAGAGATATGCTGCAATTGCGTTGTAATACAATAATTTAGTTTGACAGTATTTACTGATAGTGGATGCAGATGCAAGTAAATTCGTAAAAAGCAATGGTTGCCAGTCTTATATGTCACATTTAATCTATTTAAAGCAGTTTTGATACACTGGTAAATGGCACAGAACAGTGCATCCGCCTCAGGGATGTTTGTTTTGCCAGACATGTTGAGTGCAGATCCATCATTTCTTAAGCCAATTCCAGTATTCATGCAACAAAAAGATCATCTTGACAAGAGTTTAATTTACAAGTCAAACTCCAGTTGAGTTCGCCTGCCTGTAGCTGAGCTTTTGTCAGATTTTAGATTGCATGTGCGAGTATGTGCATCTGTGTGCATGTGTGTGTGTACAGACATCTGTGACACGCACATATGCCTGTGTGTGTGTGCCCAGAGTCGAGTGTGTACGTGGCTGTGTAGGGAAGTGTGTTTGCCTCTCTGTTTGGGGAAGAGAAAGAGATAGAAAAGCAACAGAGGTGATGTTGTGTGAAGAGATGGGAGTCTGCAGACAGATAGTGTCATTCCCTCAGTATCACCATTAAATCTTAATCTCCTGGCCTCTCATGGGAGGAGCCAGCCAAGCATGGGATTGTGTTTTGCATCTAAATCAAGATGTCTTGTTCCTTCAGAGAGTGCTTCATTGAGACAAAGTTTCATGTGTCTGCTCTCAGCTTCACATACGTTTGGATGCACTGGCTGATCATCCAGCTGCTGTTGTTTGTACTAAAGTCGTGTTAAATGCAATTGCCTCGTAAACTGTAACATCTCTAATCAATTATAAAGAAAGAGAGAAAACAAAGCTCCCAAGCAGTGCAGGAAAGTTATCATCTTGATGTGGAAGTTTCAGCAGGTTGCATCATGGGGGCTGAGTTTTTGTGGCAGTCAATTCCACCAGCGGAAACTAGACTTGTAATTCCATGTTAGGAACTTTCTTTTCTCCAGTACTTGCTCAATGACATACCATCACCATGTTTGCTTGTTAAGCAACACATACAGTTGTAGTAAAAATGAAGCAAGCACCGGCTCTTAGACTGTAGTTTTGTCTTTTGTTTTTGTGTTGTTCTCATTGTTTATTCAAACCGTATGAATCTCATTTTAATCAATACTGCATTCAAAACAGTATAATATTTTCAGGACTTGAAGTGGTGGGCATTCCTGGTACGCTACGGATATACTAAAACATGCTGGCAATGATTCTAGAAATTACAGAATTCATTGGAAATCCATTTTCGAGGTCAAACAAGTTTGCGTTTCCTTGAAGCCACGCTGATGACATTGTCTTGATTGTATGTAAATCAAGCAGACATCATTGAGTAATTGGATGTAATAAGTTTAAATATTTAGTTCATCTGCAAGGACAACGTAGTTTCCAGAGGGCTACTAATTTAGTTTTCATGTAACCCGCACCAGTCTGTCCCGGTGCTTGTGGCTGTAGCTGCTGTTTGTACTATATGTAGCCCCTCCATCCCCCCCGTGAACATTCTCCCGGCTAAGTTATCATGATTTATTCACTCAACACAATGCATCCGTCAAAGCACGCTGCATACCATTAACTTCACTGTGTTTTGATGTAAACATTCCTCATGTCCCACCTTCTTAAAATAGTTATTTTTGTTATTGTCTAGAAAATGCTCCATTTTCTCATAAAAATGAGAATGTAAACATACCACCTGGCCTTTATCACAGTGAAGAGTAGATCTTCCACATCCTTTCTCAGTAGGGAATGCCCTGCACTCCTGCAATGCTGTCCCATCTTCTCAGTTGGGAGAGAAGGATGGCAGCAGTTAGCTCATGATGCATCCAGGGTTACGTCTCAGAAATACTCACCTGCCACGCTTCCAGGTGACAGGCAACATCTCTGACAGAGCTTCTAGTTAAAGCTAAAACTATGAGGGATTATCCAGTGGAATTAGAGATTCCGGTGCAGACATTTGCAGACAGAGGACATGATTTGTGTTTTTATGTGTTGTTGTTGTTGTTTTCTTTTTTTTTTTTCCCCTCCAATGAAGTGGTATATTTTCCCCAACATCAATTGGATATGGTATTATTAGATCTGGCTGCACTCTTTGAGATATGAAAGTGAAAAAAAATAATCTCTGAGAAAGAGGTAGGCTCTGACAGCACACTGAAACATAATGGAAAGTCTGGCGGCTGTTTCAAAGGAGAATGCAGGTGAAGACTGGTTTGGAGGGGGAAGCCTGCTTACTGCAGATAGAAGACAGGGATAAACCAGCAAGGATGCAAGCGTGCTCAATTCATTTTACACCTGGTTCTGATTTATCATGGATACAATTTTTTTTATTTATTTATTTTCCCACTGTAGCTCCTTTCTTTTAGGTTAAAGGCAAAGACTCCCTCTTGATTCTTGGACAACTGTAATTCAGCAAAGGATGCAGGGAAGATAATATATATAGGAAATGAAAAAGATGAATACACATGGTCTGCCAAGGAATTTGCTGTTGTTTTATTTCAGAGTGATTACTGTGAAATGTCAGAAATTCGACTTGTATTCTCTGAGTAGATATTACACTTTTTCTTTATAATGAGGTAAACAATTGGGCCTCTAGACATGCTTGATTTATTTTTCCATTTTAGTACGACACATTGGTGTGAATGGAAAACACATACTGTAGCATTCATCTACTCCATTATAATTTCTGTGCTGCCCACATGCCTCATTATTCT